TTAGGAAACGTGTAGAAAAGTTCTCCATTCTAATCACTTTTCTACTGTGTAGGTTTAGCTGGAAGGTAATGAAGCTAACATGAGAAGTTCATGAGTTTGTTAGCACCACTGGTAGCTACGATTGGTATTCTTTTAGGTCTTAAAAGTTCCTTAACAGATTCCAACATGTATGCTTAAAACTGGAATTGCAGGGCCTTTGGAACTTAGTAGAGATTCCAAGCGCATGTTATGGCATTGAGTGGCTTGTTAAGAAGGTATAGAGGCCGGGTGCGGTGGCTCACACCTATAATCCTAGCTCTCTGGGAGGCTGAGGCGGGCAGATTGCTCAAGGTCAGGAGTTCGAAACCAACCTGAGCAAGAGCGAGGCCCCATCTCTACTATAAATAGAAATTAATTGGCCAACTAATATATATAGAAAAAATTAACCGGGCATGGTGGCACATGCCTGTAGTCCCAGCTACTCAGGAGGCTGAGGCAGCAGGATTGCTTGAGCCCAGGAGTTTGAGGTTGCTGTGAGCTAGGATTCACTCTAGCCTGGGCAACAGAGTGAGACTCTGTCTAAAAAAAAAAAAAAAAAGAAGGTATAGAGACACCTGTCCTTTCACTGTCTGACTCAGGACAAAAGTCACTTTCTCAGAGGGGCCTTCCTAGGCCACTCCTAGCCAAAGTGGTTTTTCCCCCCACTGCCCACTACGCTGCTCTTGTTCCCACAGCGCTAATCAATCTGAGTGTTTTCTGTCTGTGATCGTGTTTCCCCAGCAGAATGACAGGGCTGTTGCTGCTCTCCCCCACGCCTGGCACACAGTAGGCACTCACTTCCTGAATGAAGGATTAAATCTTTACACTCACTGTCCAACCCTCCCCCATACTTACCACTAAGGCAGCACAGTTCTGAGCTCGACCTCACAGATGTATTGGGTAGGGACGGCTCATTTTGTTAGGGGAGGGAGCTTCACACGTATTTAAAAGACCCTTGAAATGAATCACTTGTGAAGCTAAACAGGCTTCTCTCTCATCTCCCTGGTTTTGGCAGAAATACCTGAGGCAGTTTCCATTCTCTGCTAATCTCTGCCCTCCCTCAGTGTTCTGATCATCCTGGGGCCTAACTCATATCTACACTTGGAGCAACTCTGCTAGCTCTATAACTCAAGCAGCCAAAAAGAACTGTGATTTAGCCAACAGCCCAGTTACACATGTATGCAAGGCTAAACTGAGCTACTCCTTTGTGAAAATCTCCATCAGAATGATCTGATGGGGCTACTTTGCTTTTGAGGACTGTGGCACTATTTCTCAAATATGGCAGAGTACTGTTACAGCTGTACGTTCTGCTAATGGCAGGAGGTATCCTCTTTTATCCTGCTGAAATGGCAGAAACCTCATAGATTTTTTTTTCTCCCTACAACTTTTTTTTTTTGTTTGTTTGAGACATAGTCTTGCTCTGTTGCCCGGCTAGAGTGCCGTGGCATCAGCCTAGCTCACAGCAACCTCAATCTCCTGGGCTCAAGCAATCCTTCTGCCTCAGCCTCCCGAGTAGCTGGGACTACAGGCATGCGGCACCCATGCCTGGCTAATTTTTTTTCCATATATTTTTCAGTTGTCTGGCTATTTTCTTTCTATTTTTAGTAGAGACGGGGGTCTCACTCTTGCTCAGGCTGGTCTTGAACTCCTGACCTTGAGCAATCCTCCTGCCTCAGCCTCCCAGAGTGCTAGGATTATAGGCGTGAGCCACTGCGCCCGGCCCCCATCACTTCTTTAAAGAATTAAATCGGAGGACACCAAACATGTGGCCTTCAACCGCAGCTTTCTCGGGCAGCGGGCACTGTCAGAAGTGGAGGATCACTGTGTGAGTCCCGCCCTGCCCTGCGCTCCCCCTAAGGCCTTCCAGGAGCATGAGCCGCAATGTGCACACGCACTTCAGGACACTGCTTCTCACCACAGCGGGGAGGCGTGAAGGGACACCTCCGCACTGCTGCGCACCCTGGCGGTGCTGGCCTTCCCACTACGGGCCGAGTACAGGCCCTGGTGCCGCCTGTGCACGTGCTGCGTGAGGCAAGAATTTACGGAGTGACGCTACACGCTGGAAGGGGTAACAGCCAAACTGACCCTCGCGGGGGAAAAGGCCTCTTGAACTCCCCGCAAGAAGCAGTGTGTGCCAGCGCCCTCTGGGAAGGGGGCCGGGGTGTGTGCTCCTCCCACAAAGAAGCCTGGATGTCCTGACCACAATTTCCTAACATTTTTTCACTTTGATTTATGTATGAGATGATGACTCGGTGCTGAACTTTAGACCCACGCAGAATGTTTAGAGGAGACATAGCAGAAGAATAAGAGAATTTCTCTCTCTAAATATCTCAACCTAGTTTTCTCCAGGCAAGGTTTTACACCGGCAACACGCACTGCTGACGATGGTGTCGCTCTGCCAGACGTCCTCAGCAGTAGCCCAAACACATCACTGAGGAACGGAGGCCACTCCCTACCAAACACCACACACCTGTGCCAGGATGGCCAACTACGGGCCACCAATGAGGACAGGAGTCTTTGGTTGCCTTCTTGTTTGAAGCCCATATTTTATCAATTTAAAGCACTGTAGCAGCAGAGATGGAGAGTAGAGAAGAAAACGGTTTCCCAGAACTCTAACAAGGATTTTGCAGTTTGGTTAGATTACATTTAATTAACGTACCTGTCTTAAATTTTGAAATGTTATCTTGGGACCCGTAGTTCAGTATTTTGAAGACTACAAAGGTAGCTGTGACCCTTGGCCTCTCCAGGTCCCTGCTGGGTTCCCTTCAAGTAAGGAGATTGAGAAGGGTTGGGGTTAGTAAAGGAGATGGCAGCCCCACAGAGGCCGGTGTGGAAGTAAATCCTATTTTACCTGATCTGCGCAGCTGGTGGTTGTCCAGCCAGAAATGTGTCCCACAGGCCCCTGGAGCCTTGCTGCAGCCTCTGCAGTGCTCCCCACTGCTCCAGTCTGACTGGTCTCAGAGGCGTGCTGCAGAACTCACGCTAAGGTATAATTCTCCAGAAACTGCCTCTATCTCCCTGCTCCCTTGAATGCTCAGAGTTTGAACTATGGCTTATTTCTGACAAAATGAGAGCTTAAGCTAAAGTTGCATGTTCTTGTTTATCAGTTTTTATGGTCTTAATAAAAAGTTAAAGCCAGCCAAAGCTTTCACTCCCCCCGCTCACTGTAAGCATGGAGGTAGAACTTTAAAAAGGCATCATAGGGCTGAGCGAGGTGGCTCACACCTATAACGCTAGCACTCTGGGAGGACAAGGTGGGAGGATAGCTTGAGGTCAGGGGTTCGAGACCAGCCTGAGCAAGAGTGAGACCACATCTCTACAAAAATAAAAATAAAAAATTAGCCAGTTGTAGTGGTGCACACCTATAGTCTCAGCTACTTGAGGCAGGAGGCAGGAGAATCACTTGAGCTCGGCACTTTGAAGTTTCTGTGGGATACAATGATGCCACTGCACTCTAGTGGGCCAACAGAGCAAGACCCTATCTCAAAAAAAAAAAAAAAAAAAAAAAAAGCGTCATAGGATAGAGCCTGTACTTCTCCCAAGCGATTTAGAAAAGAATCAACTGGGGCCAAGATTGGTGCTGGACCCACAGATGCTAGATATATAATCTTGGGACAAATCGATGATTCAAGTCAAAGTTTTAGAGTGAATTCTCCCATTATTATTTTTTCCTTTTTAAGGTGTCTTTATGTGAAATTAAGTTGGGGGTCTGGCCAAGGCATCGGATATCCCCACACTCCTCTCTTCAGAGAAGCAGTAATCGTGAATACCCCAGTGCAGTGTTTCTAACAGCACCAGTGGCTGTAAAGTCACATACCATATTCCCTACTACTATATATCCAGTTGGTGGAGTGTTCAACCTTTTCCAATATTTCTGTGAAACACTGAATATGGGGTTAGTTTGAAATACAATTTACCCAGGAAGAAACCCAACAAGGTCATTTGGATTACTGGAAATGTGAAAAAAGGTGACATGTACAAGAAAACATTGCTGTTCATATTCTTGAAATAGACTTTTCTTTTAAGACAAAAGTAATGACATTTGGTTCATTTTCACAAATTGCACACTAGGTGAAATCATACAATTACTGCAGGGAACTGCAGGCAAGCAATTTGGTCATAGGAATTTGTTTCTTTGTTTCATTTTAAATGAAAAAGCTGTGTGAAATGCATAGCTTTGATTAAAACTACAGATACAGTTCCCTTCTCTGTAAAACTCCAGATTTAGAATGCTGGCAAAAGGCAGTGCTGGCAAAGTATTTAATGCACATGGAAATGCTATTCTATTTTGGCTTCCAGAAGGAGCCCTAGTAAATTCTATGCACCAATGCATTGGCTAATAATGATAATTTCAGTTTTACTATAAATTATTCTAAATGTCACTTAAGTACTTAAGAATTATCACTTGCTCCTTTCTAGAAGCTGTCTAAGGCAGCTGATGCGTAAAGCACCTCAACTAGACTTTCAACTAGTTCAGCAGTTCAACCTGTGCTCCCCAGGCCACAAGGATTGCCCTCCACGTCCCTCGCTGCACAGCTGCCCCCGCTGGGCACGTTTCCTGTTCATTTTTGCCTTGTAGAGGGCAGCCCGGGTGAGGGAGAGACACTTCAGAAGCATGATGGTCAAGGACTGTTCCTTGTAGCAACCTCAATTCTAAGAAGGATTACATGGGTGTGGGGAATACAAAGACCCCACCTCACGGAAGATAAACGAGCTTCATTCACACTGCCAGTTCTTCGGGGATTATTCCCCTCTATCTCCTCGGAAATCGTGCTTTGTTTGCGATACAATCTACTGCTCTGTTCGTCAGATTTTTCATTCACACTACATTAACTTTCATCTCAATCATCTCGGCCTTCATGTAATTTGCTTATTGTGTTTCTCTAGTTTTCACGGAACACACAGTGCAAACAAAGGCAAAGACTGAAGCAATCATTTGAAAAACAAGAGCTCACACTAAAAACACACATGAGCATCAAACATTAAAACGTAGGCTTTCTCCTGTCTTTATTCTGGGGAGGAGGAATCCTCCTCGTCATCTTCCTCGTCTTCATCGTTGAATGAACAGGGGGTCTCACCTCGGGACTCAGAGCAGTGAGAGGCGGCACTGCTGGACTGGTGACTGTTTGGGGCCAGGAACTGCCCAGTTGCTAAGGCCACTTCAGCATCCAAGCATAACCCTTGGTTTACACTAGCAAACAATTAAAAACACATAGGCTCGTCAATGTGGTAGAAACATTTTTGGAAAACACAGGAATAAAAACATAGGAAGGAGGGGCCAACCTGCTCAGGACCTGGGCTGACAGCAACCCGGCCCCTTCAGAGAGAGCCAGGGCTTTGCAGTTTTTCTTTCCAGCCTTGATAAAAATACATACCTTGATTGGGGTAAGGTGGCACCAGTGGTCAGGTCTAAATTTGAAACTGATTGGGTAGAGTTCACAAGTAGTCCCTGATTTAACCAAGAAGGTCCTGTGGAGATATCTAAAGGAAAAAATGAAAACAGAAAATGTAGGCCGGGCGCCGTGGCTCACGCCTGTAATCCTAGCTCTCTGGGAGGCCGAGGCGGGTGGATTGCTCAAGGTCAGGAGTTCAAAACTAGCCTGAGCAAGAGCGAGACCCCATCTCTACTATAAATAGAAAGAAATTAATTGGCCAACTGATATATATATAAAAAAAATTAGCCGGCCATGGTGGCGTATGCCTGTAGTCCCAGCTACTCGGGAGGCTGAGGCAGCAGGATTGCTTGAGCCCAGGAGTTTGAGGTTGCTGTGAGCTAGGCTGACACGAGGGCACTCACTCTAGCCTGGACAACAAAGCGAGACTCTGTCTCAAAAAAAAAAAAAAGAAAATGTAGGCTCTCTGAGTTCTGTGGCTCAGGTTGTTACAGTCTGAAGATGGCAAAGAAAAGTTAAGGGACAAGTTCTTAATTACAGCCAGACAAGTCTCCTGCCCTGAGAACCACCCATGTTTCTTCATCTTCTTGGAAGAAGAAAATTCTAGAACATAAGAGCAGGAAAAACTACAGGAAGGCAGATTATAGGCAGAAGGAATTCAAATTAAAATAATCACAGACTCTTATTCTTTTTTCTTAGATAAGCCCTCCAGAGGGTAGCTCACGTGGTACAGTGATCAGTACTATCCTGAATGCCTATTGTCCTCAACATAAAAGACCTTGACTGTAGTGGTAACAGCCAAAGTCAGGAGTGGGTAAAGAGAAAGCCAAATCAGAAATATCTTAGGTAAGGACACCCTGCTTATGGGACAGACAGACACATTCTTGCCCAAAACCCCCACTGCCTGCTGGTGAACTCGATCCTATTACTCATCAAAGACCTATTCTTTTTCCTGACAAGTTTTTCTCTGGTGTTCTCTGCTTTATAATTCAAACTAGCCCATATTTTAAAAGGTCATACAAGGTCAAGTTTTTAATGACGAGGCAGACATTACTGTTTTAGTTTACAGAAAATATTTTGGGTGTATCCAAGCAATCTTATTTTCTATACCTACCCCATATTTCTCCTATGACAACACCAATCAATTCTTTCTATAGTTTTACTTGTTTAATACTGATCTCCTCATCTATAATGTTTAGCTCAAAGAAGGCAGTAACTGGAACATATAAGATCTAAATGTTACTGAATGAATTCAGTAACTTTCAATAGTGACTACAAAATAGGTGGTAGATATATTAAAAATATTCATAAAAAGAAATTCTTTACTTCTACTGTAAGAACAAATGTATAATTAGAAAATGTAATTTGTCAACATGAGCTTCTATTTTATTTACTCAAAATATTTTTGTAATTATTGTGCACAAAAAAAAAAAAGAAAGAAAAACGAAAGAAAGAAACTCTGTGTACTTGGATTGGAAACTTTGGTATCCTGCCATTGTCTGACCAAGTGTGAGGCCATTCCTATGTAGGAAAAAAGTAAACTAAATGACTACATTAATTTTAGAATGGTCTTGTGAACCTTTTTCTTCACAGGCTAACTAAGGCAGCTGTGAAAATAAAGGACTTCAATTATAAAAAGAATAGGAGACTTTAAATACATTAAATAAGTCTGTACAAGACAATGAAATTAAAGCCAGAATCCTGTGAACATTAATTAGTATGTAGAACTATGGAAACTATCTGTCAGAACACAGCTATTTACTTGTTTGTGAGCACAACACATTGCATTTACTTTTTACAATGGATCTGAAAAGCTTACATTTCTTTCACGTTATTGCAGAATCCACACAATGGTTCTCACACTCTTACCCAAGAGCCATTCTGCCCCTTTACACACTAAAGGCACACGTTTCTTCCTTTGAACTAACTAGAAAGTCTGTCTCCCAGTCTGCAAATGAGGTCACGAAGAGATCAAAACCACAGAGCCTGCCTAATCACCCTGAGCCTTTTCACTGGGAATAAGCTAAAATAAAGTTCTGGTGATTTATTGAGTAAGCCCTTTATTCAGACCCTGCTGGCCTGCCAATGCAACTGGGCTGCTAATGAAACAGCAGGACATGCACCAGATAGCGTGGGGGGGGTGGGGGGGAGATACAGGCCGGGTTGGCTGAGGGGCAAGGAGGAGCAGAGGTCAATCATGCAGGAGGTGGATGGTGCCAATTTAAGAACTAAAATCAAAGAGAAAACAAATCTCTGTCAACAAACTTTTTTGTTGTGTGTAAAGGGCCAAAACCATAAAACAAAAAAAACTTTAAAGCTACCATTTTGCTTATATTTTGTGTAATATACCTTAGAACTAATAGTAAAATGCCTTTAAAAAGTGATGTGAAGCCGAGGGCGGTGGCTCACGCCTGTAATCCTAGCACTCTGGGAGGCTGAGGCGGGCGGAACGCTCGAGGTCAGGAGTTGGAAACCAGCCTGAGCAAGAGCGAGACCCTGTCTCTACTAAAAATAGAAAGAAATTAACCGACCAACTAAAAAAATATATATATATATTATATATAAAAAAATTAGCCAGGCATGGTGGCGCATGCCTTGTGGTCCCAGCTACTCGGGAGGCTGAGGCAGAAGGATCTCTTGAGCCCAGGAGTTTGAGGTTGCTGTGAGCTAGGCTGACGCCACGACACTCACTCTAGCCTGGGCAAGAGAGTGAGACTGTCTCAAAAAAATAAAAAAACAAACAAAAACAACAACAACAAAAACAATTTAAGTAGTGGAGAGACAAAGAACAGTAAGTACAGTCAACTTGAGATATTTTACTGTGAAGAAGGAACAATGTACACAAATATGAATTTATATTTACCTTGTTCTGTCCTTTTTTCCTGACATTTAAACTTTTATTATAATCCTCTTCTCTGAATTCAATTTTAATTGGATGATAATTTTGATCTTATATATAGACAGATAATAGACATAACAAAGTTTTCCATTAGAGCGGGGAGGGGTATACCTACTTTCTTTTGTAGGTATACCCAAAAACTGCCCCAAATTGCTCTTGAAGTGTCCAGAGGACACTAAAAGAGAGGATTTTTAAAAACTCTTTCATCAGGCTTTTACTAGCTTACTCTAACTAGGCTCTAAGCTAGCTACTAGGGACTGCAGATAAGAGGTATCTCTGAAGAGCCAAATTCAGTGGTGAGTCAGCCTATTTAGATGTACATAATGTACGCTGGATAGATGTAAGTTCACAATGTTATAAAAACAACCCATATAATCTAATTTTTGAAAAAAAAATCCTAAATTTATTATGTAAAGTACTAAAAGTCTCAATTTGGTGATGCAAGCACAGGCTTTCTAGAATCTCATAGTTTTCTATGAGAAAGGTTTTAACACGTTAGGGTTTGACATTTAACCAGGAACAACATGTGAAAGCATCAGTTAACGTACCTGTGATATAACCTTCTAAAGCCTTTGGCACCAGGGATTTAGCAAGTTTCAGATCCTCCAGAGAACACTTGCCGGACTCCAGGCCAAAGGACATTCCCATCCGCTTTAGTACTTCTATGTCGTCATGGATCTCAAAAGCGTTGTCAAAATTAAAAAGATATTCAAACCTGCATCAGAAAACAAAGCATGGAGTTTGCAGTGGTATTGGAGAGGTCTGAATAGTTTGTACTCCACTTTAAATAACCGAAGGAGGGCCTAATTTCAACTATAGTACTAGAAATTATTACCCTTTAGAGCTATGAGTCATTCTACTGTGTTCAGGGGAATGGTATCTCAAATAAAACCACTTTTCCAATTAAAACAACATTCCTGTGACAAACAGAAGTCTATAAACTTAGCTCTAACACTGTTACCAACAGGAGAAAGACATTTTGTTCTAAATCCAATACTTTTCCAAGTTGTCACAGTTTTGCCACAAAAGGAAAGCCTTTCTAGTTCAGTAATATGATATCCCTACTGTGACCTGATCTACTAGCTTTGAGAAAGAAAACAGTTTGAATGGTTACTTCATTTTTATGAGTCATATGTTGGCTACTGCATACTCTGTACATATATATTTTTAAGAGACACTATATTGCCCAGACTGGACTCAAACTCCTGGGCTCAAGCCATTCTCCCTGACTCAGTCTCCCAAATAGCTGGGACTACAGGTGTGAGCCACTGTGCCCAGCAACAGCCTACTTTAGATGAGAATAGATGGAAGACTTCTCTGTCCTTCAGACTCCTAGGCTAGGCCCTGGGGCACTTCATCCACAGGCCTTGGCCCTATAGGAATAGGGTTCAGTAACAACGGTGGGTTTTGCCTTGTCATGAAATTCCCTCTATTAAAATTATGTGAGGAATTTTTTTTATGATTAATCTTAGATCAGGGCAAAAATTACAATATGAAACAAAATGGCATATTTAAATGATCTGAAGTATATGAATGTGATTAAAGTACATTAACAATTCATTAGAAAAAAAAAATCAACCAAAATATCTGAAGAGGGTGCCTGCCACAGTGATGATTTCAGGCATCTGTTAAAAGCAGATGGTTTTGTAAATTTAATCCTCATTGTGAGAAAGCCTCCTGGCTAATTAAGGGGAAAGATTGCATCACCAAAGTAACTGAAAGACAGAGTTTTTGTACCTATCTTGAATAACGAGCTCGTACAAGCTGCTCAGAGCCTCCTTGCCTCCCTCACAGGAGGGCCAAGAAAGGGCATGAGTCAGTGACCACCCAAGAGATGGAAAGCTTACCAGATCCCAGCCTGGGGGGAACAGTGTCCTTAATTCCCCTATGCCAACAGTTCCCAGATTTTCCTGTCACTCATTTAGACTTAAAAAGCTAACCTAAGAAGAGAATTTTATAATTTCCCCACATAAAATAACAGACTAACTAGAAAGGAACTAGAATGCAAAGTCTGTTTGTTTTTCTTTTTTTTTTTTTTTTTTTGTATTTTCATTTTATAGCTGATTTTTTTTTTTTTTTATTTTGGCATATTATGGGGGTACAGATTTTAAGGTTTCAATAAATGCCCATTTCCCCCCTCCCCCCAAAAGTCTGAGTCTCCATCATGACCATCCCCCAGATGGTGCACATCTCACTCATTATGTATGTATATACCCACCCCCCTGTTTGTTTTTCTGAAGAGATGTTAACCATTTTCTAGATTTCTGATTTTCTGAGACTATGTTAACAGTCCTCTATGACATATGGTTTTCTAAGAAATTTGCAAGTGTGTGAAAAATAATTCAGATATCTACCATTTACTGAGCACTGGGCTGGGTCTGTATGAATTTATAATTTTTATAAACTGGAAAGATAAACATTATAATTCCTTTTTTTTATAGAGGAATGAATGAGATCTCAGAGAGATTAAGAAACTTAAAAGATTAAAAAACTGGATCTGGTTGACTTCACAGCCCTCTATTATTTCTTATTGTGTCTATAGTCCCAATTATCAAATAGTTTTAAAACTACTGCTTACTGCTCTTCTTCTTTTGTCGATGTGCATGTGTGTATATGTGCCTTCTTATTTAAGTGGCCCAGAATCTCTGCATGCAGAGACAGACAGGGAAACAATAGTGTAGAGAAAAGAGTGGGAAAAGCAAGGGGTGGGAAAGCCCAAGGCAATGCTGTAGCTCTAAGAAGACTAGAAGTTATGGCCTACCTGGGACAGTACTAGGTTATGGCTGCAGTACATATAATCATTAATAGAATCCTTTGCTTTCACAAGTATCCCAATTTGGATGATAAATTATATGCTTTTTTTTTTTTTTTTTGAGAGTCTCCCTCTGTTGCAATGGCAACATCCCCAAACTACGCCCCGAGGGCCACATGCAGGCCACCTAGCACATTTATCTGGCACTTGGGTGTTTTTGCCCTTGCTGCCTGTCCTGCTTAGCAGCTGACTCATCCCTGGCCCACAGTGCACCCTCTCCAACGGTCTGAGGGACAGTAAACTGGCTTGCTGTTTAAAAAGTTTGAGGACCCCTGGGCTAGAGTGTAGTGGCCTCATTATAGCTCACTGCAACCTCACCTCAAACTCCTGGCTCAAGAGGTCCTCCTACCTCAGCCACCCAAGTAGCTGGGACTATAGGTGTGCACCATAACGCCCAGCTAACTTTTCTATTTTTGTAGAGACAGAGTCTCACTATTGCCCAGGCTAGTCTCAAACTCCTGGCCTCAAACAACCCTCCCACCTTTGCCTACCAAAGTGCTGGGATTACAGGTATGGGCCCCCACAGCCGGCTTGCTGACCTCTTACAATAAAGCACCTGCCTTGGGTCAGACCTTCTATAGGCATTTAATCCTCACAATAGGACTGAGAAGTGGTGAGGCCCTAATGTCAATCTTATTGGTTGTTGAGAAACAAGAATTTGGGAGCAGTTAATGCATCAGTTGCCATGTGAGTTATATTAACTCATGCTAGTTTTAAGCCCAGGGCCTCGTGAAGCATATGTAATTCACAAGTCTCCTTACATTGGGAGCCATGTGAACTATTTTACAAGTGGCATATAACTCACACACAGAAAACAATACAAAATGACAAATTTTTCATTAAATTAGAAAGGATTGCTTTGTTTTTGAAGTTTTTATTCTATTTTTGTAATAAAACACTGTGGCCCCAAGTAAAAAATTTTTTTCCTAGTATGGCAGTCAGTGTGTTAAGAGGGGGAGCCACAATCCACACTTGGGTCTGTCTTACTCTGCACTTAACTCTCTCATGATACTGGTCCCATCCTGAAGCCATTGATAGAATGTTTTTCTTAAAGGGTAAAATAAATTACAAATTAATTCTCCGTTTTGAAAAGCACTACTTCTTACTTGTTATGATGAATATTATCATAAATCTTAGTTAAAATGTAAAAATTTTATTTTTTGAGACAGAATCTCACTCTGTTGCCCGGGCTAGAGTGCCATGGTGTCAGCCTAGCTCACAGCAACCTCAAACTCCTGGGCTCAAGCTATCCTTCTGCCTCAGCCTCCAGAGTAGCTGGGACTACAGGCATGTGCCACCATGCCTGGCTAATTTTTTATATATATATATATATATTTTTTAGTTGGCCAATTAACTTCTTTCTATTTTTAGTAGAGACAGGGTCTTGCTCTTGCTCAGGCTGGTGTCGAACTCCTGACCTTGAGCAATCCGCCCACCTCAACCTCCCAGAGTGCAAAGATTACAGGTGTGAGCTACCGCACCAGGCCTAAAATTTTTTTAAAAGAGGAAAAAAAGCAGAGAATAAATCTAGCATTTTCATGTCTATTCATTCATTATTTAAAAAACAGAAGCACATATAATGATGATAAAGCAGAACAAAGAAATTGCTTTAATGCCACAAGTTGATCTAAAATATTTCCATAACAAACTATGATAGTGAATCACCAACAAATCCACCTTGGTCCAGACCCTCAGTGATGGTTTAAACTTATTGCAGTTACTTGCTCAGAGTTACCACATACATGTAGCATGTCATAGCTTGGGCCCAGGTACTGCTACACACATAACACATGCACCACAACGCTGGCACAGGACAGGGGACTGCAGAGGGTGAGTGATGAGCTCACACTAGTAGAAGACAGCACCTACATTTGAGGAGGTGTTTTATGTGCCCAAGGAAGCCAATCTTCGGAGGCTGCAGATAATGGAGTGAATCCTTCTTTATTTTGCAAATGGTAGGGATATGTTAACAGAAGGCTAGTCCTGCACCCATCCCCTAGTTCTCTACTCACTTGTCACTGGAGATGCTGCAATCTATGACTGTTTTTCTGCTTGTATTGATGATTATAAACGGCAGCTGAATGGTAGAGTTCAGAGCTGGAGGACCCTGATTCTGCTGTTCATTTTGTCGATTTCTCTGTACCAGGTTTTTGAAAGCGATTTGCTGTAATGGTCAATAAAAAAGAATATGGACATGTAATGTGGGTAAGTGACTTGGAATTTAAGTGAATATATACAGTACATTTAAAATGTGGTTTAAACCCCCATAATATGCCAAAATAAAAAAAAAATTAAAAAAAAAATGTGGTTTAAAATTAGATTAAAGAGACATGCCACCTGTACTAATGAATTAATAAAAAATTAAACATTTAAGAAAAAAGGTAGAATGCTCTAATTCAATAAATACATTTCAAAGCAAAAAATATCCATTTGAATGGTGTCTAACATCATCCTAATGTAAATAACAGGGTCCATGGTTTCCACAATCCATAGAAACTGCATGTCACAATCTGAGGGAGAGCCTGTCTGGGGCACTTGCAACTCTTCGTTGAGTGATACAGCAAGGATGACACTATTTATTCAACACAGATTCTTGAAATTTGTGGTCAAATATGCCTTTTAGATCATCTTGCCCAGGGTTATGAAAACATGAAGACATAGATCTCTTTCTTTGAATAAAATGTCATGGATATCTACTATTAATATATAAAACAGATGGAAGTGGCATTGTTCTGGCTGGCTGCAGTGGGGCTGGGGTCCTAAGCCCTGCCAGCTCTGCCCTCATGCATAGTCACATGGTCTCTAAGGCACCTCCACAGAACTTCTCACTACCCTTGGGGAAACGGAGACTTAGCATATATAAGATATATCGAGGCCTGAATATACTGAATCTTGCTGCTACTTTTAGTTATAACCATTACTCAAAAGCCAAAGAAAGTGACCTTCCTTTTTCTAGTAAGGCAAATGTATTCATAGAAGTTCATAGCTAGAAAGACTCTGTCGTTCAAGTTTTTCCCTTATCTGCTCAAGAAGCAGACAATGGTTTTAAAAGTTTCTGAAGTCAGAGCCAGTCATTCTCTTATATTAGTGTTTTATATCTTGTCACCCACTAGTGATGAATTCAAGTTATTTTCAACATCTTATGCTCAGGATTGTTTATTTCAGGTTCTGGGCCTTAACTAAAGCTTTATTAAGATTACTATTATCAGCCGCGGTGGCTCATGCCTGTAATCCTAGCACTCTGGGAGGCCAAAGCGGGCGGATTGCTCGAGGTCAGGAGTTCAAAACCAGCCTGAGCAAGAGCAAGACCCCGTCTCCACTATAAACAGAAAGAAATTAAGTGGCCAACTAATATACATAGAAAAAATTAGCCGGGCATGGTGGCACATGCCTGTAGACCCAGCTACTCGGGAGGCTGAGGCAGCAGGATTGTTTGAGCCCAGGAGATTGAGGTTGCTGTGAGCTAGGCTGACGTCATGGCACTCACTCTAGCCTGGGCAACAAAGCAAGACTCTGTCTCAAAAAAGAAAAAAAAACCAACAATAAAAAGATTACTATTATCATAAAATGGCTGGGTGCTATCTCCCTAGATAGTGAACATTTACTATTTTGAAATGCACAAAACAGAATGAATACCAATTTATTCTAGCCCTACCAGTGTAGTGTGTCCAAAAATCATTATTAATACCAATCACTATACAAAATCTATCACTATTAATATTATTATCAAACTTATTTAAGTTACACTTCATTATTTTCTATTGCTAAAGAACTAAAGCTATTTTATATTCATTGCTTAATTCATTTAATATTGAGGAAAAAATATTCTGAAACTGTAGAACTGAGAAAACGAATGAACTAGTTGAATAATTTTGCCTTGCTTATTTTCCCTTCTACTAGAATAAACATCGTGAGCTGTTCCTGTACTATGTCTACATGTCTAGCTGCGCAGCCCTAGTGCCGTGGGAGGACCTTAGTATATAGGGTATCATCTCCCATTTATTTTGAACTGATTTCCTTATTAGTAGTTGCCCTTTGATTGATTTCCTTCAGCCTTTTTCTTCTCCAGACTCATGAACATCTATTCTAGAGGCTGAACAGCTTTAAGTGTGTTGAGACATTCATTTTGCAATAGCAGCTACGTAAAAAGTTTAAGGGCTGGAAGCAACAATTATACAGATAAAAGTAGGGTATTTGGATTATCCATAGGTATAATTTACTCACACATCATTCCTCTCCTACATTACAAAGAATAAAAGAGAGGTGGTAGCATGTAGGTAATGGTTACCTGTATCATGTGACATCAGCGAGTTTTGACATTAATTTATTAAGAAATAAAGCTACCTTAGCTATGGCAAATTATTAGTGTTCAGGGACAACTTGTTTAATTTACTTTCTAAGACAACTTCATAAACGTTAGTTGATGAAAAAAAAAAAAAGAAAAATGAAACACCAGGTGGAAATAACTTTTATGCTACCAGGAGACCAGAGGTGTTTTGTTAGCCTATGGGTTTCACCTTAATGTTTAGAGAGACCCGTTTCTATAAATGTTGACTGGTTAAAATCTATAAATATCTGGTTGAGAGACAGCAGAGAAAAAGTAATTCAGAACTTAAAATATACCAGTACAATGTGTACTGCACAAAGCTAAGCAGAAAAAAAAAATAATCAACTTCATTCTTTGTGCTGGGCATCTAGAGATGTGAAAGTCCCATATATCTGAGGGTGATCTTGCCCAGCACCATCCTTTCTGACAAATAAACTGGTAATTGCAGGCATGCTGAGAAACAGGTTTGCTTTAAAAAAAATGCCAAAAATCAAGCTCTAAGATATTTCATGGTTTTCAGGAAATTCCAGGAAGGCCCCAGCACAGGGCTTGGGGACCATGAGCTGGTAGGGGAATACTGCAGATAACTGCACAGCGCTGGGGACAGAAAGGCAGCTGGGGGAGACAGTGCAGGAGTCAGAGGAGGAACGCCTGGCAGAATTCTATAGGCAGGAGCATAAGAATAAACTGCCAGCTTTTGATTTTTTTTTTAAGCTACATAACGGCCAGGCGTGGTGGCTCACGCCTGTAATCCTAGCACTCTGGGAGGCCGAGGCGGGAGGATCGCTCGAGGTCAGGAGTTCGAAACCAGCCCGAGCAAGAGCGAGACCCCGTCTCTACTCTAAATAGAAAGAAATTAAGTGGCCAACTAATATACATAGAAAAAATTAGCCGGGCATGGTGGCACATGCCTGCAGTCCCAGCTACTCGGGAGGCTAAGGCAGTAGGATTGTTTGAGTCCAGGAGATTGAGGTTGCTGTGAGCCAGGCTGACTCCATGGCACTCACTCTAGCCTGGTCAACAAAGCAAGACTCTGTCTCAAAAAAAAAAAAAAGCTGCATAACACTCTCTTTAAACAAAACTTTATTTGGAAACCCAACATGAAAAATACACAAAATGCCTGCTCCAGTGGCAGCTCCTCAGGTAGGTCCCATGGGGTTTAGTGTGAAAATAGACATAGAACATGGTAAGAAGGAAAGGAACAACCTAGTCAGGACAGAATGCCACCTCTGGGCCTTTCTGTGTTGGCCACATCTCTGCTTTACCTGCTGCTGCTCCTCTGCCCATGCCCCGCTTCCTTTCCCCTTCCCCACACTCCGATCACACAGATCTTGGCAACGGCTAAACTGTCTTGTGCCTGTTGGCTTTACACATGAATGTGGAAAAACAAAACCCATAAGCAAATGTAAGCATCAAGAAAGTGAAAAGCAAAAATCATCTGGAATATTTAAGAACACAACATATTCTAGTCATTAAACGAAGTGAGTACTAAAGGAAAAGCCTGACAACACATTTGATAACTTACTGTTCCCTTTATTTCTGAAAAGTGGATTATATATACCCCAAATTAAATAGGACCTAGAGCTGTTTAAATCAAAGTGGATCTTATGATTGGCTGTTAAGTTTTTTGTGTAAAGACAACGTGCTGAGAAAAGCCATAAAGGCCCTCTGGCTCATTTTATGGTTTATCTGATTGGATTGAAAATGGCCCAATTGTACTTACCACTTGAAGTAAATTTTTACACCAATTGCAATTACCAAAAATAGAGTTAAGAAAAAGTCCATCTACCCTGTGATTTTACAAATATAGGGATCCTCATTAAACTATAAAATGTGTTTTTCTTAAACAGAAATGCATTTTAAGTTTTGGTATTTCTATTAATCTTACGGAATCATTTCATGTCATTCTGTCATTTACTGGTAAGGATTACAGGTAGATTTGATTATCTTACTTAAAGCACATAATTTAACTAGTCTTACTAGTTGATATTCCGAATCAGGGCTAACATAAACAAACACAAAGAGACTCCTGACAGTTATGTTCAGAGTAAGGATAAGTGTCAAAAGCGAACTGCTGGATAATACGAGTCACACATGGGGTGGGTGAGCGCCGTGGGGCCAGCGTGCCGGTGAGAGCAGGAACCATCTTTAGGGCAGAGCAGGAGGGTGGCGATGAGCTAGGAGGCAGGGAGGGTGCCCTGGTGTGGACCCACCAGACGCCACTCAGAGGCACCACAATAAGAAAACACGCTGACTCTAAGAGCCAGCAAGTGGAGAAACAGGGAAGGTATGAAAAACATCCCAAAAGCTTTACCTGCACGAGAAGTTCTTGCAGCTGGGCCCGCTTCTGCTTTATCCGTTCTATCCGCCTCTGCTTCTCTATCTTTAAAACATTGGTAACAAAATAACGTGAATATATGTAGAGTATAAAGTATCACTCTCTTCTCAGGTCCCTATTCTGAGATATCAAGAATTTTTCCTAGAGAAACTCCACCCCCTTTAACTATGGATATGAATAAAAGCAAATCACTCCTTTTAGGGGGTGGGCAGGGGTTGGAGGTGAGCAAGCAGGTATGACAGCAGAACTGTGGCAACTGTCATCAAAAATGAAATCCAGGCTGGGCGTGGTGGCTCATGCCTGTAATCCTAGCACTCTGGGAGGCAGGGGCAGGATGACTGCTTGAGCTCAGGAGTTCAAGACCAGCCGGAGCCAGAGTGAGATCCCATCTACTAAAAATAGAAAAATTAGCCAGGCAACATGACACATGCCTGTTGTCCCACCAACTTAGGAGGCAGAGGCAGGAGGATTGCTTGAGCCCAGGCCTTTGAGCTTGCTGTGAGCCATGATGATACCACTGCACTCTACCCAGGGCAACAGAGCAAGATTCTGTCTTAAAACAAATTAAAGAAAAGAAAAAATAAATATGTCCACTTAATGAATACTTGGTATGCAGTACCTGTTTGCTGTCATTACTCACGTTCTAATCAAAGAATCACTTAAGTTTATACTTATTCTGTGTGCCAGCATTCAACTAAGCACATTACACACATTATCCTAATTCATCTTTCACAAAAACCTCACGATGTAAGTACTGTTGTTATTCATTCTGCATGTAAGGAAATGGAAGCATAGAGGGTTAAGTAACTGCCCAAGGTCACATGGCTAATGAATGGTAAGGGCCAGGATTTGAACTTAAGCCACCTGGTTCCAGACACTCTATTAATAATCAATTACTTGCTACATTACCCCTCTAAGAATAAGTCAAGATTTATTTAAGATATCAGTTTAGCTGACTCTCGAGTAAGAGGCAGAAGAGCTGCTGATACAGATATCCCACATATTCAATATACAATTGCTACTTGTAGTAAGAAATGTGCTTGCTGGGCAAATTTTCCAGCTTCAAACAACTGCTATTTTTCTTAATCTCACAACTACTTAGAAAACAGATATTAGTGTCTGAATTTCCTTGCAGTTGAGTTCCTGCCTCCTTAGGCAAAAGTTAATGACATCTGCTACGTAAAATGTACAGAGGCCGCTGGTTTGGAATGAGCTCCTGCACTAGACCCAACAGACAAACCGAAATGGAGTACTCCTGAAGAAGTTCCATACAACCAAGTCGAAACTAACTTGTACACCTGACCTTCTAAGGAATCAGGGGAGAGAGAAAGACAATAGCTAAACCTCAAAAGGTCAGTTTTAGCCAGCATGATAAAGGAGTCCCCTCTGTTTTAACTTTTACAAGGAAAGTAACTTCGAGGTGACTAATCCACTTTTTTTTTTTTTTAGGCTGGTCAAGTGGAGCAGTGGGAATGGAGAAGGAACAAAGGAATCTGTAACTGGTTGTGATCAATTAGTTGTAAACACCACTGCACTCGGACCAACCCTAATCCACTTTTTGTTTCTGCTTTTCTCAGCCCTTTTCTGCCCATAAAGCCAACCTCTGCCCAGCTCACAGGAACACAGATTCTATTTATTACAATGAGGTGTTGCTCAATTCTAGAATCACAGTTACATTTGTTGTAATTTTGTCTTTTGAAATATCAAATAAGATATTCCTTATTTACTCCAACAGATTATTTCTTATTTGCTTCCCATCTGCTCCAGGCTGCACTAGGAGTTTCCATTCTTGGTTCCTCTAACCACTGTTGGCACTTTAGTCCTAAGTTACTTAAATTTCATTGTAAAATCTGTGTGGCTTTCTATTTATATGATTGAAAAGACTGTAACAGTTTCTCCTGTCTCTGAAGCTCTGACATGCCAAGCCCCTACCTGCCTGTCACACCCCACATCCACCCAGGTGAAGTTGCACTGATTCTACCTCTAGAACACCTCTCCAATTTCACCGTCACCACCTTAACTCAGACCGTCTCCAATCCTCCTCCCTCCATCCCATTTCCTTCCCCATCTACCTGTTGCTATGACTCCCAACTGAATGATCCTTTAAAACACATCAATAACACTCCTCTTTATAATTTATCGATAGCTTCCCACTGCTTAGAACAGGTGTCCTCAAACTACGGCCTGCGGGCCGCATGCAGGCCACCTACCACATTTATCCGGCCCTCTGAGTGTTTTTGCCGCTGCTGCTTGTCCTGCTTAGCAGCCAACTCGTCCCGGGCCCACAATGCGTACTCTCCAACTGTCTGAAGGACAGTGAACTGGCCCCCTGTTTGAAAAGTTTGAGGATCCCTGGTTTACAGGATCAAGTCCCCACTACTTAGCACTCAGAAATCTATGCCCTTTCTCCACGCCTGTACTCTGGCCACAGCCTGCTCCGGGCATGCTTCCTCATGCCTGTGTTGGCCCGTGCAGGGCCTATGCCTGGAAGGCTCTCCCTGCCCTTATCTACTTGGCAAACCCTACTCCCTCCTTCATGACTGAGCTTAGGAATTACTTCTTTGGTAAATCCTGCCCTTATCTCTCTTTGCAGAAAATCTGTACTACCTCTTTCATAGAAGTAATCACATTTTTGGTAACTCTTACATTTTTCCTCTCTCCAGTTAGATAGCTGCTTAGGGTCAGAGATTTGTCTTGTATAACCTATAGTTAAGCATGTGGTAGATGCTAAAGGATTTTTGCTTAATGAATCTTTGGTATCAGCTTAGTTAGCTTAGTATTACTGGGCATTAAAATGATGTTCAAATTCCACTTTATTAGAAGGAAGAAAAATGAGAAAAGGAGGATATTTCCATTCTAGCATTTGAGTAACATTATTCTACAACTTCTGATGAATATCTGATTTCTCTCCCCATCTGCAAATATAATAATACTAAATCAGGTGTCCTCAAACTACAGCCCACGGGCCACATGTGGGTGTTTTTTGCCCATTTATTTTTTTACTTCAAAATAAGATATGTGCAGTATGCATAGGAATTTGTTCATAGTTTTTTGAACTATAGTCTGGCCCTCCAATGGTCTGAGGGACAGTGAACTGGTCCCCTGTTTAAAAAGTTCGAGGACTCCTATACTAAATAATTTCTGATTTGCTGGGGGCAAAAAAGGGACCAAGAAAAACATGAAATCAACCTTAATTATCTCCAAAAACCATATTTAACATCTGTTTACTCCATGTATAGCCATGCTAGTAAAATTATGTCAAATCAATTGAGAAAGTATGTTAGGGAACATGCTTGTCTAGGGAGGATTTTCTTTAATATTGAAAGTTCACAGAATTAAAAATGCTTTTGTACACATCATCCCAAAATTCATGTAAGATGAACCTTCTATCCATTATGATAGACATGAATTAAATCCATTCTGTTGCTACTGATTCTAAAGGCAAATGTAAAAATTTGACGGTCACAGCTATATTTAGAATATTGTGTCTGTAACCAACACAGGAAATAAACAGCCAGCTTGATCCTTCTTTTTTGGGGATCCATATAGCAAGCATTTCATCAAAAAAGATATCATTTCTATTACATGATTCACTAAAAATTTATTAGTAGAGGGCTCAGAATTAAATTATTAATAGAATAAAATAAAGATCTTCTCTAAGAAACAATAAAATTAAATCAAGTCATTTAACTTTTATGTCCCTCAGTTTCATCATGTACAAAATAAACATTAGACTGTATGTCTAAAGGTCCTTTCAATTCTAAACTTCTACATTTAACAGACATAATGGTCTATTAAAAAAATGACATAGTGTACACAGTTGGAAATATTTTAGTATTACATCATTATATTTTTAAATTAAAATGCCTCTGATGTAAAATAATGCCAATGACTATCCATAAACAGATTTTCTCATTTACCTCCAGGTTTTGACATTCCTGAGCAGAGTTGGTAGGTAGGCCAATCCACTTGATTTCTTTTTTTTCCTTTGAAATTATGTTCATTGCCATTAGCACATTTAAAGCATCATAAACTCTTCGCCTAATGTTCTTCTGATCATAAGCCTGCTGAAAAATATTTTTATTGAGTGATAAATTTTAAGAGTTAAGATACAGTCACATGATATTAATATATTAAATTACTATTATTTTATCTTAAAATGCTGCAAGAATTCTATATCCAATAAAAATCCTTTAAAATTAATGATTAAATAAAGATACTTTCAAACAATATAAACTATAAAATAATTTTAAAAATAAATATTATGTTACCAGCAGATCTACATGAAAACATATTAAATTTCTTCAGGTAGGAGAAAGATCTAAGAAGGGAACTTGGGGATATAGGAGAGAACAAAGACCAACTCAAAAAGTAAATATGTGGGTAAATCTCAACACTCACTGTATAAAATAATAAAGCCTTATGGAATCTACAATATATACAGAATATATTTGACAACAAATAGTATATGTATATCAGAAAGGGGTAGTACAGGTAATGTGCTCTAAGGCCTTGCACTGTTTGGTGTTTGGGAAGATTCTGGACTTTTAAAAAAATCAAGGATATATTTTTAAGTTCTAGGCAAAACTGCTCCTCAAAATGTGTTCCATGGGCCAGTGCTGATTTGCAAACTGTTTCCAGTCTACCAGGAGAACAAGGACTTACACCAAAATGTAAACACACATATCACTAGGCACACCGGCACAGCTGACCTTTTCTTTTCTTTCTTCTGACAGCAAGATTTTCTCGATGAAGGAAATAGTGTTGACTTACATTGTGCAGCAAGGTCCTTACCAAATGCCAAGATTATTAATAAAGGACAGTGCAGAACACTGAATCCATCTAAATATAAAGCTAAATCTACAAGTAGTGGATAACACAACTCACCTGCCAAATCAACTAGCCCTAAAAATAAAAAATAAAAAACCTAAATCTAAATAAATGGGGGATCTAAGCTAACTGAATATAAATATTAGAATTCTTGACACTGTAGAAATGATGATAATATAACAACAAAATCAGGGGGTAATACAGTAGGTATGCTGACTTCCTCCTTTTAATATTGGAAAGGCTATGGATACTGCTCAGCACACATGAACTAAGAAATGACAGAGGTTTCAGTACAATATATTTAAAGTCATAAAATACTGTAACAGTATTATTCTTTTAATAACCACTAATACATTTCATCTGATTCCTGTGGTGGAGGAGAAAGATGGGAGATGGGAATAAATATAAGCACATTAATTGTTTTTCCCTTCATAATCACCAGATACAGTCTACAGGTGATAACTCAAAGTATTAAGTATGTCACTTACACTTATAAAGATAACCAGCTTAAAGAACTGTAGACTACAACCCTTCTAGATTACCAGAAAAGTAACGCAATAGTGAACAAACAGAAAAACATCCAATGTTTGTTTATATCCTCAGGGAGTAACGGGGGATTAGTGAAAATGTATGTCAGATGTTGAAAAGTGCTAAAGAGAGATGCCTCATCGTGGTGTGAGTTATGATCAGGAGGCAGGGAGAGAGAAGCCATATGAATATCTAGCAAAGAGTGTTCTAGGCAAAGGAAACAGCAAGTGCAATGGCCTGATCAAGGATATATCTGGTATATTTACAAAAAGTGTGGCTCAAAGGTAGTGAAGGAAGGAGAGCACAGAAGATGAGATCGGTGCAGTAACAGTGAGCAAGATCACAGAGGGGCTTGTAGATCACTGTGACAACTGTGGCTTTCATTCAAAATCAGACTGCTATATACTTTATTTTCAAGTGCCCAGAACACTTTCTTTTAACAAAAACAAAACAATCAAAAAAACACCATATTATAATGGCTCACAAGAAAAATCTCAATGCAATTTAAAAAAACCACAGAAGTAGTTCAACTCATATTCTTTTATTCTCTGGTAACAGGTAATAAAAGTAAAAATTTATAGCAATAAGCAAAAATCCCTATCACCTGGAACTATAAGAACTCCTTCTGGCCAAGTGCAGTGGCTCACCCCTGTGATACTAGCACTCTGGGACGCTGAGGCAGGAGGACCACTTGAGGCCAGGAGTTTGAGGTTGCAGTGAGCTATGATGACACCATAGCACTCTAGCGTGGGTCACAAAGTGAGACTGTCTCAAAAAAAAAAAACACCTTTCTTTCTAATGCAATTCTTAGGTCAAAAAACAAATTAAAACCAAAGTTATCTCAAAATAGGTCATCTCAAAATAAAATCTTTATCATTCTAAAATTTAAAATAGAATATCTAGGCCGGACGCAGCTTATGCCTGTAATCCTAGCACTCTGGGAGGCTGAGGCCGTGGATCGCTCAAGGTCAGAAGTTCAAGACCAGCCTGAGCAAGAGCGAGACTCCATCTCTACTAAAAATAGAAAGAAATTAATTGCACAAAAAAGGTAGAAAAGGGAGGCCGGCGATTTGGGGATGCTGTGGTGGCTTACTCGGGGTGAGAGAAGGATCGTCCGCATGCCCGAGAGTGAGGGTGCTGGGCGTAGGTACGGCACAGCGGGCGCAGCGTCTGGCTGAGGCAAGCGGAGGCGAGTCGTGGTCTCAAAAAAACAAAACAAAACAAAAAACAAACTTCAGAAAATGAGGAGAGTAAGAAGTAATGAGGAAAGAGCAGACGGTAGGACGCGAGAAGAGCAAAGGGTGTTTAGCAACAAAGTCGAAGACGTTGTTCTGAGAGCGAATCGAGATGAAGTGTTGAGGAGCAGAGTGAAGAGTGAGAGTGGTGTAGAGAAGAGTGATACGAAGGTAATCAGCGTGCCGTTGGAAGTGAAGCGAAGGAAGTTCAGTAAAGCGAGGGACGAGGATTAGAAGAGTGGATGGAGAAGAGTATGCTAAGAGACCAGCAGCGGCCGAGCAGTCACCCACCAATCACCAGCTAGGATTTCACAGGTGAGTTCACAAGGAGTGTGCAGACGTGGGCTGAGAGGCACGCCGCGAGGAGTGCGTAGAGCACCGTGTGGATGGAGAAGAGAGATGAAGGAAAGATGCCTCTAAATCTTTTACAAAGCCGCTAAAGAGCATACTAGCGAGAGTCAGAGAGGTGTGCGTGAAGGATGTCAGAAAAGACAGATGATGACTAGCGATGTTACCGCTGATTTTATTAAGAAAAAGAGAGGAAGGGAAAACGCAGTTAAAGAGAAACAGGCGTATGTAGGTCAGTGAGATCTATATAATCATTAAGTGAAATACTATCAATCTTCCATTAAAGTCAGAATAAGACGCAAATGACCAGATGGGTACTTGGTTTGTGGGTACAATAATTACATTTAAATGTAAACTGAGTCGTGTTGTGAGAGTGGGAAATAATAAAGGTCAGTATGCTTGGGGATGGAGCAGGAGGAGGGATGGCATAACAAGGACAGAAGGAATCCGTTTTAGGGAGTGATAGAAGAGTCGGGATACGGTTGATTGTAGGTATGTTTGACTGTCATAGGTTGAAAAACTATCAAAACTCATTGAATCTGAATAAATTATTTGTGGCAACTATTCAAAATAAGAAAAATAGAGCGGTATATGTTCCCTTCTTTGTATGTAATGTAACTCAATCGAAAGAAACAAAGGGAGACGCTTTCTCTGTACAAATAGATACATCTTCAAGATATTATTAAGAAAATAAATAGAATGCAGCATGTAAAATAAATCACTTTTGTGTTTAAATGAAAAGGAGTTGGCACAGGCTCCTCAATCTGCGAGATCCTAGCACTTTGGGAGGCTGAGCAGGAGGCTGCTTGAGGGCCATGTGAGAGTTTAAGACTAGGGGTGGTAACTTAGCAAGATGCCTATCTCTACAAAGAAATAGAAAATTGTGTTGCATGTCGATAGTCCAGCACTTCAGGAGGCTGAGCAGGTAGACGCATTGAGCCCAGAAGTTGGAGGCTGCAAGGCGTAGTTGATGGCACGCACCGTAGCTCAGCCAAACAGAGCGATGATGCGGCTCCAAAATATTTGGCCAGCATCTGCTTGTGCCTGGGCTGCTCTCGAAGTACTGTGCTCAACAATCTTCCAACCTAAGCTCTCAGAATTTAGATGGGCAGTTACAGACGCTACCCACTGTTCCTGACTCAAAAAAATTTTATTCATGGTATGCATAATTTTAGAATGATATGCAGAAACTAGTAACAGAAAGATGAGGTAGTTGTTGGAATCAGACTGGGTCTGTGTTGAAGGAGGTTATCGTTATTTGTACTCTTTGTGGACAGTCCAATGATGTTTTTTTTGTGGAGGCAGTAGTCGGTCGTTGTGCCAGGCTAGTGAGGAGTGCTCGTGGCGTCAGCAACACAGCAACTTCCATCTCCTGGCTCAGCGATCCTGCTGGCCGTGCAGCCTCCCAATGTGTAGCTGACTGATGCGCGAGGCACCACCTGATGCCTGCGTGTAGTTTTTTCGTAGTATATTAGTTGCCAATTCATTTCTTTTATTGGTAAGTAGAGACAGGGTCTCCCTGCTCAGCTGGTTTGAACTCCTGCCTGCAAGCAATCCATCCGCCTTGGCTCCCAGGTGGCTAGGATTACAGGCGTAAGCACCGCGCGGCCTGAAACGTGCATTTTTAATAAGACATTTCAGGGTATATTATTTTTTCATTAAAAATTAAAATAAAATTTTCTTGTACTTTAGATATTAAAGAAACACTGGATTCAGAAAATAAAAGTCACCAACTACGGCCGGGCGCGGTGGCTCACGCTGTAATCCTAGCACTTTGGGATGGCCGAGGCGGCGAGTTGCAAGGTCAGGTGCGAAACCAGCGAGCAAGACCGGCTCTACAAAAATGAAGAATTAAGTGACAACTAAAGAGTGATATATTACAAAAAAAGGATAGTCGCGATGTGTGGGCGGCGATGCTGATCCGAGCGATCGAGGCTTGAGCAGATGAAGGGCTAGCCGAGCTGGACGCGTTGCTGTGGAGTCAGGCTGACGCCAGGGCACTCAGGCTCTAGCCTGGGCACACAAAGTGAGACTCTGTCTCAAAACAAAAAAAAAAAAATAAAGTAAAAGAGTCACCAACTATAAAAAATATATAAAAAAGAAACATGTTCAATAACCCCAAAATTACATTTAAAAACTATTCTTTGTTTAAATAAATAAAAGAATTATCTCTAAAATAAAAACCAATAACAAAAAATCCCCCAAAATACAATACAAAATCCTCAGGTAAAGGAGTTGAGGATACCTCAGCTTATCTGATTCCTCAAATCTATGACACAGATAACCCAAAGAGACAGACTGTAGCATCACTCATCACAATCAATGTCAGGTTCATGATCTACCTACCGAATCAGCAGCCAAATGATTATTTGAATTGGTGAATTCTGATACCAGCTCATCAGCTACTTCATTATATGATGTTGTACCTTTTCGCTGAACTTTCTCACACACTTTCATTGAAAAATGTCTCAAACCTTTTCCATTTTTATCTCCTTTTTTGCTTCGTTTACTAGAAGAGAAAAAAAAATTATACTCCATTATACTTATTAGCGACTACCTTTTAAATCTCTATAATAAGATAGTAACTTAAGTTTTGCTTTGAGTAGCAAAAACTTAAATTGAATTGAGATGAGAAAAATGCTTTTATTTTTTTTTTTTTATTTTTTTTAAATTTTTAACACCGAGCAGACACATGCAAGAAAAATGCTTTTAAACTTAACCTTTGCCTTAAGAGCTTAATAAATTATGAAATTAGAGTGCTTTTCCATGCATATCATTTATTCAACAAGTATTTACTGAGCAGTTATTAGGCTGTGCCAGATATTGTTATAGACACTGGGAATAATCAGTGAAAAAAGGCAGCAACCCTGCCCTTATAGAGCTTATGTACTAGGCAATAGTCATCTTTTTATAGTCTATGTATATTATAGTTTTTTTCCTGAAATTAAAAGTCAATCATGGCTGGGCACGGTGGCTCACGCCTGTAATCCTAGCACTCTGGGAGGCTGAGGCGGGCGGATTGCTCGAGGTCAGGAGTTCCAGACCACCCTGCGCAAGAGTGAGACCCCATCTCTACTATAAATAGAAATAAATTAATTGGCCAACTAATATATATATAGAAAAAATTAGCCGGGCATGGTGGCACATGTAATCCCAGCTACTTGGGAGGCTGAGGTAGTAGGATTGCTTGAGCCCAGGAGATTGAGGTTGCTGTGAGCTAGGCTGACGCCATGGCACTCACTCTAGCCTGGGCAACAAAGCGAGATCTGCCCAAAAAAAAAAAAAAAAAAGTAACTTCAGGAAAAGGAAGAGAATATTAAATAAAGATTAAAAACAGAACCTAACTGCAAAACAGAAGGTTTTTACAAACAAAATCAAGACATTGTTCTTTGGGAAATATAATTCCAAATAATTTTAAGAACATGGATGAAATGGAGGATTTTCTAAGAAAACATAAAATATCAGCCTGACCTTAAGGGAGACAGAAATTCAAAACAGACTAATTACCAAAGATGGAATGGAGAAAGCTATCTAAAATCTACCACCACCACCCACATCACCCACCAAATCACCAGGCCTAGGTGATTTCACAGGTGATTTCTACAAAGTTTCAGGGACTAGAACTAGACACCCAATGTTATTACACCTGTAATGGAGTAAAGAGAACGAAAAAAAATGCCTCTAAATTCATTTTACAAAGCCAACATAATACTACTAATCAAAATTCTAAATGTTCAGGAAAAGATCCAGAATTTGATGAAATTTAACATCTACTCCTGATTTTTAAATTAAAAAAAAGAAGAAAGAAAAGCTCATTTAAAAAAAAAACAGGCTATGGTTAGGTCATCTCAAAATAAAATCTTTATCATCATTAAGTTTGAAATACTATAAATCTTTCCATTAAAGTTCAGAATTAAAGATCCCAAATGACCAGATTACTACTATTACTTAATATTTTGTGGAGTACACAGAATAAGATTACATTTAGATGAAATGTAAACTGATCTTTAATGTTAAAATAAATCAAATCAGTAGTTGCTTGGGGATGGAGGCAGAGGGAGGGATGGACTACAAGGGACAAGAAGAACCTTTTAGGGGTGATAGAAAAGTTCTGTATCTTGATTGTGGTAGTGACTTCATAGTTGAAGACAACTATCAAAACTCATTGAATTTACCTGAATACATCTATTTGTATGCAAACTATTCAATAAATAAAGAAAAAAATAAGACGTATATGTTTCCTTCCTTGTATGTAATTTTAACTCAATCGAAAGAAAAAAGAGGACGACTTTCTCTGTACTAAAATAGAACAATCTTCAAGATATATTAAGAAAATAAAATTAAGAATGCAGCATGTAAAATACAATCACTTTTGTGTTTAAAATAAAAAGGAGGCTGGGCAGTGGCTCCTCACATCTGCAATCCTAGCACTTTGGGAGGCTGAGGCAGGAGGACTGCTTGAGGCCAGGAGTTTAAGACTAGCCTGGGCAACTTAGCAAGATCCTATCTCTACAAAAAAATAAGAAAAATTGTGGTGTTGCATGTCTATAGTCCCAGCTACTCAGGAGGCTGAGGCAGGAGGATCGCTTGAGCCCCAGAAGTTGGAGGCTGCAATGAGCTATGATGATGCCACTGCACACTAGCTCAGCCAACAGAGCGAGATGCTATTCAAAATATTTTTGAGCCAGCATCTTGCTTGTTGCCTGGGCTGCTCTCGAACTACTGTGCTCAAGCAATCTTCCCACCTAAGCTTCCAGAATAGATGGGATTACAGACGCATACCACTGTGCCTGACTCAGAAATAAATTTTATTATGGTATGCATAATTTTTGGAATGATATGCAAGAAACTAGTAACAGAAAATATTACTTTTGGGGAATCAGACTGGGGTCTGTGGTAGAAGGGAGTTTTTCTTTATTATATACTCTTGTGGACAACTCCATATTTTTTTTTTTTTTTTTTGTGAGACAGAGTCTCGCTTTGTTGCCCAGGCTAGAGTGAGTGCCGTGGCGTCAGCCTAGCTCACAGCAACCTCAAACTCCTGGGCTCAAGCAATCCTGCTGCCTCAGCCTCCCAAGTAGCTGGGACTACAGGCATGCACCACCATGCCCGGCTAATTTTTTCTATATATATTAGTTGGCCAATTCATTTCTTTCTATTTATAGGAGAGACAGGGGTCTTGCTCTTGCTCAGGCTGGTTTTGAACTCCTGACCTCAAGCAATCCATCCGCCTTGGCCTCCAAGAGTGCTAGGATTACAGGCGTGAGCCACTGCGCCCGGCCTGACAACTGCATTTTTAATAAACATGTTCATATATTATTTTTCCAATTAAAAATAAAATAAAATTTTCTTGTTGACTTAGATATTAAAGAAACACTGAGATTCAGAAACATATAAAAAGTCACCAACTACGGCCGGGCGCGGTGGCTCACGCCTGTAATCCTAGCACTTTGGGAGGCCGAGGCGGGCGGATTGCTCAAGGTCAGGAGTTCGAAACCAGCCTGAGCAAGACCTGTCTCTACTCTAAAATAGAAAGAAATTTAAAGTGAACTTGGGTACTGAAAATAACAAAAAAACAAAAAAAAAAAAGAAAAGAATATTGACCACTAAAAATATATATACAAAAAAAATTAGCCGGGCATGGTGGCGCATGCCTGTAGTCCCAGCTACTCGGGAGCTGAGGCAGAAGGATCGCTGAGCCCGGAGATTGAGGTTGCTGTGAGCCAGGCTGACGCCACGGCACTCACTCTAGCCTGGGCAACAAAGTGAGATCTGTCTCAAAAAAAAAAAAAAAAAAGTCACCAACTATAAAAAATATATAAAAAAGAAACATGTTCAATAACCCCAAAATTACATTTAAAAACTATTCTTTGTTTAAATAAATAAAAGAATTATCTCTAAAATAAAACCAATAACAAAAAATCCCCAAAAACAATAAAAATCCTCAGGTAAAGGAGTTGAGGATCCTCAGCTTATCTGATTCCTCAAATCTATGACACAAGATAACCCAAAGAGACAGACTGTAGCATCACTCATCACAATCAATGTCAGGTTCATGATCTACCTACCGAATCAGCAGCCAAAGATTATTTGAATTGGTGAATTCTGATACCAGCTCATCAGCTACTTCATTATATGATGTTGTACCTTTTCGCTGAACTTTCTCACACACTTTCATTGAAAAATGTCTCAAACCTTTTCCATTTTATCTCCTTTTTTGCTTCGTTTACTAGAAGAGAAAAAATTATACTCCATTATACTTATTAGCGACTACCTTTTAAATCTCTATAATAAAAGAAAATAGTAACTTTAAGTTTTGCTTTGAGTAGCAAAAATTAAATTGAATTGAGAAAAATGCTTTTAAACTTAACCTTTGCCTTAAGAGCTTAATAAATTCATGAAATTAGAGTGCTTTCCATGCATATCATTATTCAACAAGTATTTACTGAGCAGTTATTAGGCTGTGCCAGATATTGTTATAGACACCTGGGAATAATCAGTGAAAAAGGGCAGTAACCCTGCCCTTATAGAGCTTATGTACTAGGCAAAGTCATCTTTTGTATCTAATGTATATTATAGTTTTTTCCTGAAATTAAAATCAATCATGGCTGGGCACGGGCTCATCGCCTGTAATCCTAGCTTCTGGGAGGCTGAGGCGGGCGGATTGCTCGAGGTTCAGGAGTTTCCATCATCCTCACTTCCTGTTGCAAGATGTGATGGACTCCCGTCCTACTAATATAAATAATTTTTATCGAATATTTTAATGTCTATACTAATTATAATATATTGATTTTTCTTGACCTGGTGTCATTTTTATTTTTTTTTTGGTGCACATGTTATCTCCAGCTATTATGGAGGCTGAGGATATGTTTTAGTGATCTGCTTGAGCCCAGGATTTAGTTGCTTTGTTTGATTGTCTTATGTTTTGTACGTATTGTTTTTTTTGTATTTGCACAGATATCTATTCAATTTGCCTAGTGCCATTAACATAATGTGAATTTGTACTTTTTTGTCTTTCAATAAATATTAATAAATATAAAAAGTCAGTTCTTCACAATAAATACAGTCATGACATGTTTTCTTGTCACTAGACAAAATTTGTGTCCTGTTTTTGTAAGTTTATATAATTGGCCGGAAAAAGTCCGATCACTGTTGAGTTGAGTGGCGATGCCATTCAAAGCTCATGTAGCATATTTATCTACTTTGTATCTGAGCGTGCTGGGGATGCGACGAGAAAAACCGACGGCACGGCGGCCAGCAGAAACGAGGAGTAATCAGAAATAGGTTTGCAATATGCTTGATAATGATAATGACTATGTTAACTGGTTTCTGTACGTACTGTGTTATACTTTTTAACATTATTTTAGAGTGTATTCCTTCCTCTTAGAAAAGAAAAGTTATAAGATACACAGCCTAGGCAGGTCTTCAGGAGGCGTTCAGAAGAAGCATCTGTTATCACAGGAGACGACAACCGTGTGTATGCCCTGAAGATCTCCAGTGGGACAAGAT